AGGCAGGAACCAGACCAGCAACCATGACACATCACAGGTGACTGCCTGGCAGAGAAGGGGACAAATCGCCCCACAAGCGACAGCAACCAGGCGGGGAAAGAACTCGCTGCATGTTCATGGCTCTTATGTCAAATGAGAAAATGCAAACCATCCAGTGACAGAAAGTGGGTCCATGGTGACAGCGTCGGCTGGGGGAGTGAGGGCAGGCGGCTCAGAGCCCAGAAAACCTTGGGGGCAAGGGAGATGGTTTCACAAAATATATTGAACTGTGCACCTTAAAACAGATGCAGTCTTCCCCATACAAACTATTCCCTGATAAAGTTGTGCTTCTGGGGAACATGTTAACGCCCAGCATGGTGGTGATGGGTGGGGCTGGGGGTGCAGAGAAGCTCTTCTGGGGAGTCTACAAACAGGCACATGTCTGCAAAGGATCGTACTGCATGTTTGTCAAAAACCATCTTCAAAACGTGCCACGTGGAGACGGATAGTTTTTATTTCCTAAGGAGAGGTCCTTAAAGCAAGGTCATGGTCCCAATGCCCTTCTGGGACATTCCTCCCTGGCATGACCGATCACCATGCAGATTCAGAAACAGCAAATGTTCCAGCGTGAGCGAGTAAATGAATTGTGTGTACTCATTACAAAATAACAGTATAAGCCCCAAAGTAACCCTGTTAGATTGTGTCATGGTCATGTCTGAATACAGGTCCGAGCTGCACCTCCAAACACCCAGAGAGGCTCGGTCAGCAGGTCGGGCAGGTGGCGGACGCACACACCGACTCCAAACAGGTCCTTCTGGGAGGGAGGCCGCCCTCCACCCCGGCCCTGCTGCCTCCAGACTGGGAGCAAGGCTGAGTTTGGAGAGCAGAGGATGAAATCCCCTGCTGACCGCTCTGGCTGCCCATTTCCCCTGGAGCGTGTGAGGCCCAGAGAAGCACCCTTTGCAGGGACCACCCAGAGACGCTCTCTGACCCAGCTTTGCCCCAGGATTCAACACAGGTGCTTTGAGCAAACACCGGTGCTAGGTAGAGCGGGTTCGTGTTGGGGGGACTGGAGGGCAGGCAGCATGTCCGCCTTGCTCTGGACTCAGTGTCAACTGGAGAAGCTGGTGGCACCACAGCACCCCAAGGGCTTTGGGGTCACCGGACATTGTAGGAGACCAAAAGCAGAACCTCTCACCTGAAGATGTGGGTACAAAGAACAGGTCACCCCCTCCTCCAGCAGGGATGGCGACAAAACTTTAGAGCTAGAAGACACCAGAAGGCAAAGGTTCCTGAGGGCAGCTTCCCCACCAAAATACACCAAGAGAACTTTTTCAGGTAATACAATCCGACATCCTGCACCCAGTCTCTGACTCAGTGGGTCAAAGGCCATGAAGGGCATCACTATCGAAGCCTCCCAAGGGCCTCGAGGACCTGCCAGGATGAGAAGCCGTTACTCTCCGGCGTCCCTGTTAGGATGCCCAGAGGCACCCAGCTAAAGAGAGCACTGGGGTCTGGAGTCCAGCATCTGTTCCACTGTTGCCACCACTGTCACCGCCCTGCAAGCACAGCTTGGCTGGGACTGGCTTTATTTCCGGGACTTAACAGCCACATGTTGCCAAAGGCTACTGCACTAGACCATGTAGTGTCCGATGGGGAGGTGGTGGTCATGAGCATTGCAGATCAAGGGGTGAGTGAATCCTCCCCAGGACCCTCTCTCTCTAATAGAAACCACCGCTAGCTCTAGGTGTGCAACAGAACGATTTCACACAGGCACCCGTTGCGAAACGATTGCCACAATAAGTCAGCGTCCATCCAAAAAGAGGGAACAGCATGGAATCCTGTTTCACTTAACAGAGGTGGTTTTCTCACCTCTTTGTGTAGCGCTGACACCCACAAAAAGGCCGGCGGGGAGGAAGCAAAGGGAAAAGGGCTCGCCCTTTGTGTTGGTTTCCTAACACACAGCAAACGGGGTGATTTGAAACAACTGAACTCTGTTCACTCACCGCTCCAGGCTAGAAATCCAAAATCCAGGCGCCGGAGAACTGTGCTCCCTCTGAAAGTGGGGGGACTTCCCCACCTCTCCAACCAGGTGGGAAACCTTCGGGCTGCTGGCTTCCAGCCACTTCACTCCCATCCTGCCTGTGGCCGCGTGGGCTGTCCTCCTGGGAACACAGCCCCGTCAGATGAAGGTCCGCTCCACTGCGGCATGACCTCACCCTAACGAGCCACAGCCCCATTTCCAAATGAGGTGGATGGGGCACACCTGGGTCAGGGTTTAGCTACACCTGCTGGGGGGACACAGTTCCACACGTCACATACCCCGGCCCCAAGTCCAAAAGCCTCCTCTCAGCAGGGGCCAGACGCCAAGAGGCCCTCTTCCCGTCCACCTGGCCCACGGTCCCCATGGGGTGGTTCCCCAAGACCGCACCTTTCCTTGGAGGGCGCCGCGTGTCCCGAAAAAACCCACAGAGCTTGACCCCGCAGACGTTCTTGAAGTTCTTCCTGGAGCAGGTCCTGATGGCGGCCTCCAAGCCAGTTTCCAGGCCTTTCTCGCCCCGCGCCCACGGAAGTCACCCAGAAGGGGCGCGGCCCGGCCCGGTCACGTGGCCCCGTCTGTTTCTGGGGGTCACGCCTGTTTCTGGGGTCCGCGGTGAGAGGCCCGCGGGGTCGGGTCGGGCCGGTTGCGGCGTCAGAGGGTCCCAGCGGGCGGCTTGGGCCTGCGGAGGCCAGAGGCCGGCGGGGCGGCCGGAGGGAGTTCCGGGGTCTCGGGGTCTGAGGAAGGCCCGGCAGAAACGTGCCTGGAGCGGGGACGCCGTCCTCTCTCCAGGTAAGGGGCCCCTGGCGCCCACCAGGGCCGCACCCACGCGGCGGGCCGCGAGCCCCCACCCAGAAGCGTGCTCGGGCCCTGACCTGGCGGGAAAGGCGGCAAGATGGCGGCCGCCCCGCCCCCCCCCCCCCCCCCCAGCCCTCAGGAGCCCTGGGGGCCCGGGGCTCCCCAGGACGCAGCAGCCGGCTCCACACTCGCCCCAGGGGCCGGGGTGCGGCTCCCGAGAAGACATCTCAGGAATAGTCTCTGGAGGTCTCGTCTCTCACCCACGGGTGACCCGACCTCGTTTTGTTTTGAACATTCCACCACGGGAACTCGAGGCCCAGCCTCCCGGGCACTGGCCCCCAAGAGAGAAGAATGACGCTGTTGCCAGGGGACCGTTTCTAATGAGAACCAGACAGACCGTCCCCTTCCTGCCCCACACGTGAAAGCGCGCACAGGGACGATGAGGGAGACAGCCGAGCGGTGGAAACGCCTTCCCCCGCCTTCAGGGGCCTGGGGTGCCATCAGCGGGCAGGCGCCCCGCAGCCTGCGTGGGGAATCTCACAGAGGGAAGCCAGACACGCTGCCTCCAGGCCAGGGCCACTGGGCAGGCAACAAGGAAGCCTCTTCATGCCTCTCCGGAGGCCAGAGGCTCTGCCGTCCTTGGTCCAGAAGCAGCAAACCCGGAGTCAAGCAGCCGGTGTGTGCGGGGTGAGGGAGAAGCAGTGGGGTCCTCACTGACTTGGCATTTGAAGCCCCTGCCCACCCATCTGCCCTGCTGCTGCAGGCAGGAGTCAGGCCTCCTCAAAGGGCACCCCGCTCCCACAAGCTAACACAGAATGGATGGGGAGACCCAGAAGCCAAGTTTCAGTGGGGACCTCTTGAGGGACCTAGCTGCTTTTCATGGCATCAGTTCAGGTGTTGAAGCAAACCCCGTAATTGCGCCCTGGACCCAGGGAGCCCCGTGGCCATCCCCTGGATGTCCAGTGGGATCAGGGAGACAGGAAAACCGAGAACAGGGCCAGGCAACAGGCGAGCTCATGACTCACTCCTCCAAGGTTGACGTTGGGGCCCTTCCAGAAGATTGTCTGCACTGCAATTCGGCACAGCTCCTAAAAGCCAGACTCTTGTCCAAAAGCAAGTCGCTGATAAGAAAATGGCCCCTTTTCCCTTTGGCCCTAACCCCCCATAACTTCCTTTTAACACCCAACGTCTTGTGTCTTGATTGAGAAATAACTGCCAACGTAAGACCTCTTTTCTTTGCGGCTCTAAAGCAAAGCAATTGTGATCTTGACATATCAACCAGATAAATCCAACTTAATGGGAACGTTCAGTGGCCAAGGACAAGCTGCCAAGAGCAAAGTATTAGGTTGGCAGAGTTTAAATTACTTAATAACATCCAATGCCAACATTAAGTCAGGAATTGCTGAGCATTTGGGAGAGTTATGAATTAGGGATTATGAGACTGGAGTTGAAGCAATGACTTGATCCAATGTGGAAAATCCTTTTGCTCTCACTTCCCTTTGAAGCCCAGCCACTCATGCCAAACTATAAACATATCACTTCCTGGAGGATCTGCCAGGTCACTTCAACGTGCAACCAAGTACCAGCCGTGTGCCTCCAAGACCCCTGAGGACACCCTGCGAGGACGCAAGCCCTCTCTGGCCCATCTGCTCCCAGCGGAGCCCAGCCACCACCTCTGATTTCCCAAGTGGACAAAACTATGAGCCTTCCTGGAAGGGTCTGTGTATTCTCTTGTCTCCAAACATGGAGAACTTCAGTGAACTGAAAACAAAGCCTCCACCTCCTTCCCTGGCATCATTTGCCTCAACACCGGGTGGTAAGAAAGCTAGCTACGAGGATCGCCGACCATCAATGCATGTCTGTTCGCAAAAGTTTGAGGTGCAACTTGACCAGAGTCCAGTGTTTCTCAACCAAGTAGCCTCACGCAAAAGACATTGTCAGTCACCAGCCCCCTGCACATTTCCCCACACCCTGTGGTGGAAAGAACGACTCCCACAGTCGGCAGCCTGAGTGCTTCAGCCCCGGGGCAGCTGAGCAGGCTCATAAGGGAGAGAAAATGAAACTTCCAGTTTCCGTTGGCAAAGGACAAGTCACGAAGCTGCATGCAAACTGTGAATTAGCTGTGCCACTACTGCCCTTACCTTAGAGGTAAAAAAAAAAATCAAGTTGTAACCAGACTGTCACGGCTTCTATCGAGAATACTTTTTATTATACAGGTATCATATACACACCAGTTATTTCGGGGAGGTTTACAGGCATGTAGCTCAATTCCAGACCTCGATTCACCCACACACGCTATAGCACACACTCACCTCAGGGCCCCTTCCTGCAGGCATGAGCCAAAGTCACTGCTTTGTGAACAGCCATTAAATAGAAATCTCCACCGTCCATAACAGAGCCCAGGACCCTCCACATTCTTACTACCCTGTGTCCATAGGAATAAAACCTCGGGAGGTGTTTCAGACTAGCCCATCACCTTTAAAAGCTAATATTAAAATCGAATCCCGTTTCTCAAAAAGTCGTAAGAAGTGCACCCGTATTTACAGACCCCATTAAATTATGCATAAATAAAATCTGTACACCCAACACACTGCTTGGCAAAATCCAGAGCCTTCTCCGGGTCTTGGGGATGACAGGCAGCCCCCCCAAAAAAAAGAAAAAAAAAAAAAAAGCTTCATGCCTGCCCTTTCAAGTTTACTCAAAACACCAAGATGTGAAATAAATATGCAAATAAAGCTTCAGTACCTTAAAGGAACATGTCCCTTCAAAGATTCTCCCATTTTAAGAGTTAACTTTCAAAATATTTAAAAAAAAAAAATTCAGCAGGCTTTTTTTTCTTTTTTTTTTTTTTTTTTACAAGTTTTGAAAGATCCCCTTGGAACCAGGGGTGCAAAGTGTGTCAAATACCACCTAGGAACTAGTTGCTCGGCAGGTAGAATCTGTCTCCTGCTGAATGTAGCATCTGGTATCTGAAGAAGCTAGATAAATACTTTCTTGAAGATAAATATTTAGTGGACACGGAAGCCAGCCATTACCTTAACACTGAATAAAAAAAGGTTGATCTGAATCTCTTTCAACATTTTCAACAGCTACATGTAGGTTTTTGTTGTGAGCCCGGGGGATTTATTTAAAAAGTTCTAAAACTTGTAGCACCACTTCAGAGAGGAGGAGGAGTGGGTTCCGAACAATGAAATCAAAGCTTAGTGAGTAAAGAACCAGCGCTTGTCACCTTCCGAAAAGCCGTCCAGAAATGCGGTGGAGAACAAGGTCAGCAGAGGCGGCCGAACGGGAAGGCCGGGGAGAAGCTCTGTTCACCCCCGGCCAGGGGGTCCCCAGTCTGTTTCGGTGGGGAATGAGTTTCCTGGCCCTTTTCCTTCCAGACGCTTCGGTCCTGGTGGGCCCCTGTTTCATTTCCTGTGCTTCTCCATTTTCTCCAGGGTTTTGCTAGAATCCGCAGGACTCTGGTCGCCAGGGTTCATGTAGGATTTGTCTATGACTATCAGGGCCTCTTTGATGTAGTTCTGCACGGCAGACACGGCGGCACAGATGGCCTGGCTGCCGAACCCGTGGGTGATGAGGCTGAAATGAGACAAGCAGTTCTGGATGTTGGACTCCAAGACTGGTGTGGGTCTGTTGTTCCCGTTGGGTGTTCGGTCTTGATTGAGAAGGTCCGTGAATTCCTTGCACACTTGTCTGTGGAGAGAGTCACACACCTGTGAGCTACAGCAGGCTCCAGACGGGGATGGACAAAGAGCTCCGGACAAGGCACCCCCGGGGCCGACAGCCCAGCAGCCATTAGAATTTGACTTGAAACCAATACTAACCCGCCAGTGGCTGCACCGAGCATCTATTAAGTGCTCGGCCCCAGCATTATTTTTTTCATCATCCTCCCTGCAAATAGGAAAGATTAGTCCCAGTCACCTGGCCAAGGTCACCAGGACCAGTACAAGTGGGGTCAGGACCAGCCCAGGAGGCTAAGGGGTGGCCCTATCCCCAGGGCAGGTTGGTGTCAACATAACCAAGTCTGCTGGAACAGAACAGTCACACGTTCCCTGATCCCGACATGGCTGGTTCCTGATGCTCCTATTTGCCCAGTTCCTGACTTCACTTCATTTCCCGGCATTTTATTTATTTTTTTTTATATTTAAAGGGCAGGCTTATTAGGGAAGGGATAAACAGTTAAAGACACTTGTATAGACACAAGCGGGTAGGAAAAGAAGAGCTGCTCCAAAAGGGACAGGTTTGCTGAGAGAGGCCTGCATGGTCGCAGGCCGGCGGCCTGGAGGAGAGCTGTCTCCGCTGAGGGAGGTCAGTAAAGAGAAGTCCTGGCAGGTACAGGTCACGGGCAGCCAGAAAGCTGCTGCCCTGCAGAGGAGAGAGCTGGCGAAAAGAGGCACCTGCATAGTCACAGGTGGGCAGACGAGTGCTGCTCCATTTCCCAGCATTTAAAAAATCAATTTACTGTTGGTTTCTATGAGAAACCCCACAGCAACATTAAGTACTTCTAGAGACATTTAATTTAACAGGTTCCCTACAAATCCAACCCAGAACGTTGCATTTAAACAACAAAATGTGATCGGGACGTACAGGCACCCCATTTTTATTGGATATGATCAAAAAAAGGTCTGTCCACACATTCTGGTCAGCTCTGCAAAGAGTCACGAAAGGCTGACCCATCTGAGTTTAGACCAGCGAGCAGCACTGGCCACGGGGCAAGGCGTCCCTCACTCCACTCTCCTAAACTGTACCAACAAGGTCACTTCTTCGGGCTGTGTTAAAAGCAGCCTCCTGACCACTCTTGGGCTTGAGACCCCAATTGATTTAATGACCATTTCTTTCTTGAGCACGGGGAGTGTGCTCAGGCACACGCACGCGCCACCCCAGGGTCAGCACCAACTCATCACATTCAAGACCGGACACTTACTGTGCAGCCAGCAGCATGTTCTTCCGAGTCGCCATCTCATTCCGACCTCCGAGGTGGGGTCTGGTTAAATATTCTGCCACTGGTTTACTAGGGAATTCTGCTTCGCAGACATAGGCAAAGTCCCGAGCCAGATGAACAGCCTCACCTAGAAACACCAGTCATGGCAACAGACTTTAGGACGGCGGCTCTGGGGACCCGGCCTCGAGTCCCCCCAATCTCCCAGCACTCTCAGGCGCTTTGTACCCTAAACTGAAGCCACATGCAGGGGAAATAATTCAGCCTGACAGCCGCACTCTCCAACAGGGATAGAGGGTAAGATTATATATGGGGGGGGGGGGAGAGGAAGATCCCCAACTTTTCCACAGTACTAGAACAATGCTAAGCAGTGCCCTGGCCCAACCTCAGCAGAGCCTCTATGACTCCACCTGCTTTTCTCTTATGAGCAACATAGCATCAAGTGTGGAGAAGCGGGGAAATCCACAGTTTGACAGAAGCAAACTGATCAAGTCTCTCTCTATGGGACTAAGCCCTTGGCATGGAACTTTCTTTTTTAAATTTTTTTTTTTTTTTTTATAGAGGCATTTTTTTTTTATTTATTTATTTGTTTGTTCGTTCGTTTTGTTTATACATGCACTGGGTACAGTCAGAAGCGCGGGAGGGTGAGAGAATTCACCAGAGCCAGAGCGGGGAGCAGAGCAGGCAGAAGGACCAAAGTACACTGCTGAGGGGAGCAGCGGGCGGCAGGAGAGGTCTGCGCGCCATGTGGGACCCTCCTCCAGTGGCCGGGGAGCAGCCGGGGATCGAACCGGCGCCGCAGAGGTCGCCGGCAGCTTTGCAACCCAGCGCTCAACCGCTGCGCCACCGGGGAGGCCCTGGAACTTTCTTTTTTAAGTTAGAAGAGGCCAGGATGGAGAGGTCAAGTCTCCAGAATGTTTATTTCAGTCAGGCAGAACTGCTTCCTATTAGAAATATTAAGAAGCCCCAACAGGGCCTCCCCTGGTGGTGCAGCGGTTGAGCGCTGCTTTGCAAAGCTGCCCGCAGGCTCTGCAGCGCCAGTTCGATCCCCAGCCACTGGGCGAGGGTCCCACACGGTGTGACAGACCTCTCTTGCCGCCCACTGCTCCCCTCAGCAGTGTATTTCGTCGGTCTGCCTGTTCTGTATCCTGCTCTGGCTCTGGTGAATTCTCTCACCCTCCTGCGCTTCTGACTATACCCAGTGCTTGTATAAATAAATAAATAAATCTTTAAAAAAAAGTATTTAAAAAAAAAAGAAGCCCCAACTACCCACTTGGACCACTCCTTTGTCCAAGTTACTGGGGCACAGAGGGAGGAGCCAGTGACAGCACCTCCCCCAGAGGTGCCCTTTCTGGGGTCCAGGGTGCAAGGCAGCAATGCTGTCCAAAACCCCCAATAGTGTACACCCTGACCTCTCTCCACTTGCCTCTCAGGACTCAGTAAGTCTCAGAGCCATTGTTCTGGCCCACATTTTCTTATTCAAGCGCAGCCCTGCCTGCTGGCTGGCGACTTGGAAAACCTAGCCCGCCACATTTACAGGCCACGTGCTTGGAACCCACCCTTCTCCATGAAAGGACAGCCGGCCCCCAAAAGGCAGCTCCTTTCTCTTCACCCTGACCTCCGAGGTGACCCGTACAAAGGTAGAGAAGAGCTCTCTCTGCCAAGCCTCCTTCCAGCCAGCCAGGCAGCGGAGCCCCTGGAGCAGCTCAAATGATGGCCCGGCTGCCTGGAGTCCACAGCTCCCTGGCCCCTAGCCCCATGCTCCAGGGTGCTGGAGGCTTCAGGGGACAGCTCAGTGCTCGACTCCATTTTCCTGTGTTTGTTTTATTTTTAAAAATATTACTTCACTTTCCCTCGCCCCCTTTAAAGGCTTGACTTCTAGGCTGCTTTCCAGGGGGTAAGCCCATCCCAGCTCCAGCAATGTCACCACAAGGACCTTGGGTGGGGGAAGGGGCACCTCCTTGGACCCTGGACTTCTTTTTTGGGTGGAAGGGAACAAAGCATTGGTGAATCATCGAAGACAAGGGCTTTTCTCTTCTGCATTGGCCACAATCCCAACATTTCAGTCACAAAAATGTCCCCAGAATCAGGATTTCTAAGGCCCACCAAATAAATAGCCTTTTTTTTTTTTAACGAGGTAACCCTGCACTTTATATAAGTTTCAGATATGCGCCATGATAAACCAGCATCTGCCTGTACTCCTTTAAGTTCACCAAGAAAAGTTCAGTTCTACTCCTTGCCACCCAAGGGACCTCTTGCCAGCTCAGTTTTAAAGGTACACCAAGTGATTAATTGCATCTTTCAAAAATCAGTTTGTGCAACAGGAACTGCTGACACCCTTGAGTGAGTTCTTAGGTTAGGAAATCCCAATTTCTTCTTAGCAATGATTTTCTGGGGAATTCAGAACACTTAAACCAGCTACATAAATGCTGAGCTTATTTGCTAAAACTACTGTGCTTCATTGTAAATTTGTGGCGCTCCAATCCTTTTCATCTTGACTTAGGACTCAGCTAAGAGTTTTCTTCATCTTTTCTCTAGAGAAGCACAGCAAACACCACAGCACAAGCTAACAACACCGCCAAACGCCACTGACCTTCTACCAGGGACGTCAGGAGGGTGACATGTGCGGCTTTCCGTCTCCCAGCTGGAAGATTCAACCCAATCTTGTCCAATTTCTCCCGCAAAGACCGGCCTCCGTTTTTTGATTTGGCTCTGTGTAAAAAAGTGGACGGTGGCTGTTCAGTAAACCATACTTCCAGATTCTAAATTCCCAAAGTGCTCGGTCAAAGCTGAAATCCCCGAAAGCCCATTAACACGCTATACGGATCGTAACCCCGGGACAGAGGGAGCCTCCTCTGACTAATCCCCGTAAAATTCAGCCGCGCCAACTTATTTTTCAAAATCACAGAATGCTGCAAGATACACTGGAGCAGATACAAATTTTGCTTGTTAAAATGGCAACAGCACCCTGCCCCCCAAAATGAAAACACTCCGGGGGGATAACACCCCTGGAGCTGCCCTTCCCTAATACAGATGCCACCACGTCATACATGGAAGCCAATTCCAACCAAATGATAATTTGTTATCACTGTTTTAGCACTTCCTTCTGCATTTGGCACTTTTTTTCTGAGAGAAGAAATGTACAAAAACTCTTTGAGCCAATTAGAATTCAGTGTTAGGTTTAAAAGTTACATAAATGTTAAAAATACCTCCGGGTCCTTTTATTCACCCCCCCTTCACCCACCCAGCCACGGGTGCCACCCACGTACCTTCTGAGAACACCTCCCAGCAGGGAAGCATTTAAGCACTCGGGCGGGGACAGTCTCCGCTGGACTTCAGCGACTGTCACTTTATATTTAGATGTGGAGCTGAGGAGGGACAGTCTTCCTGGGACGGAGCAGAAGACCTCGCTGGGGTTCATCACGGCCCCCACCAGCTCCTTCTGACAAGGGAGACTCAAGGGGTTCTTGGTCATTGAAATGGGACCTGGGAAGGAAGACCAGAGGGGGCGGTAAGCAGCCACATCCCAGCCACGGAGACCTTTTCCAACCATCCCCCCCAAGGTGCAAAGAGCTCAGGCTAGAAATTCTGAGTAGATTTTCTTTAAGCCATATTTCCTCAAAGATAATCCAATCTGAGATTCACAAGTTAACACCTTGGAAAGTTAATTAGTCCAGATCCTAAGCACTGAGGGTTTTCATTTTCCAGCCACTGTTAAAATCTATTTAATTAGAACATTTGTTTTCCAAAGACTGCTTCCATACCAAATACCTGATTTTTTTTCCTCACTCAACGAACAACCAAAGTCCTAAGACACACTCAGATCCTTTGCCAAAATCTTTCAGTGCCGCTGACAGCACAGCGGAGTGTAAAATACAAACACACACCTGTTCTGTAGGCATTGCTAGAAAATTCAGCTTATTTCCTGAGTTTTTCCTCAAAACCTATTTTCCCCCAGTTGATTTTAAACAGTTTAACTCTGAAGTAACAGAACATGACTACCCCTTTAATTGCCGTCTGCTCGGCTTCCCAAAACAGCCAGCCTCGGAATCCGGTCAGTGTGTAACTTAATTTCATAAGCCATTCACGCACCACCTAATCCAATTTCCCAAACTCCCCTTCCTCAGTTCCTGCAAAAACCCCTGACAGCTCACCCCAGCCTGGTTCTGAGAAGGTTGTACACATGTTTGCTAGGCCACATTGTTCCAAGACTTTTTTTTCTTGGGCATCCGGATTGAAGTCTTCTTATCATAGGTGTGTTTGAAATCAGAAATCCCATCAATTTACAACTTACTCAATGGTGCCTGAGCCAACTACTCAACTAAGATTGTGGGTTTTCTCCCCAATGAAATCTCCGTGGGGAGCTCTCTGGGGAAGGCCGACAGGCTGAGCAGCAACGCCCTGGGGCGCAAGGCCTAGCAATCCCCAGGGAAACTGCAAAACAGGCCCGGAACGCACAGTCCAGAAGCTGCACCCGCATCCCTTCCCTTTGGGTGGGAAAGAAATGCGACCTAGAGCCCACCTTCCAGTCCCCTCCACCCACGCCCGGGGCGGCCACCAAGCGCCTCCTCCTCTGGCCAAGGAGGTAAGACCTTCACCTCCCGCAGGAACCCGGGCCGGCTGCGGGCGGGAAGGGCAAAGCTCCCGCTCTCCACCTACCTTTGCGGATAACAGTCTGGTCGTGCAGAAGCAGATGCTGATCCTCCACATTCTGGGGAAGAAACGGACAAAGTTGCCTTTAGTTCGGGGGCGCGCAGAGCAGGGGCGGGAGAGGCCGAGGCCCGCGGGGCGCGCGGGAGGGGCGCGAGCCGGGCGCCGCTCACCTGCACCTCCTCCATCTGGTGCGCCATGTCGTGGAGGCCCAGGTTCTCGGCCAGGCCCGCGGCGTCCAGGGCGTGCGCGTGCGGCAGCAGCAAGTCCGAGCGGCGGTAGGCGTCCCTGCGGGCGCTCATGGCGCCCCCCTCCAGGCCCGAGAGGTGCGGGATCAGGCCGGCGGGGCGCCCGTGGTGCGAGGGCAGGCCGGCCCCCTCCTGGCTCTGGCGGCCGGGCCAGGCCTGCTGCTGGCTGCCGGTGGGCGCCGGCTGGTGCAGGGGGTTGATGGCCGCGGCGTAGGCTTCCCCCAGGTGCGAGTAGGGGTCGGCCGACTGCGAGTACGCCAGCTGCTGGTAGGGGGGCGGGAAGTAGGGGGGCGGCTGGTATTCGGCGACTCCGGTGTGCGAGAGCGGCGGCGCGGGGCTGTAGAGGTGCTGCCCGGCCGAGGAGAGGTGCGGGAGGCGCGGGTTGCCATTGCTGCTCGCGTCGTGGCGATCCTGGGCAGAGCAGAGACCCCGTTAGTACGAAACCCCGCTCCAGCGAAGCGGCCGCCGGCGCCCCAGCCGCGGCGCTCGCGGGGGCCCCCCAGCACCACCCAGAGCCGCCCCGCGAGGGTGGCCGGAGGGCCCCCGGGGGCGCTGTGCCCCGAGGGGCGCGTCGCCAAGCGCGAGCGCGCGGAGGCCGGTGGTGAGACCTGGGGGAAGGCTTCCTCCAAGCCCGGCGGCGAAGATCTGGGCGCTCCGACGCCCGAGGCGCTCTGAGGCTCCAGGTCGGAACCCCAAGCGTGGAGCCAGGAGTAGCAGAAGCCGGGGCCCCGGGAGGACGTCGGCGCGAGGCGCGCGCGGTCGCTCGCCAGCCCGCACATGTCGGCTCGGGCTGGAGGAAGGAAGCGGCGCGCGCGGAGGATGCGCGCAGCTGGGGAAGCGCCTCGCCCCCGCCCGGGGGACCCTCCCTTCCACGCCCTCGGGACAGAAGACCTCCGGCCTCGGACACTCCCTCGCGGCCGGCGCCCGGCGCCGCCCGAGCACGGGGAGGGAACGCGCCCGCCCGGCTGCCCTCCCCGCGGGCTGGATCCCCACCCGAGGGCACGGGGCCCGGGGCCCGGGCCGTTCCGCCGGGGCACGGCCAGTCTCCCCACGAGTCGGGACAAAAGGGGACACGAAGGACCCCCAACATCGGGCGCCCTTGCCTGAGCACGCCCCCCGCCCCGCGGCTGTCCGACTCCGTGCGTAAAAGGGGCGTCCGAGTGTCCCCAAGGTCACAGGGGGAGCGGGGACCAGATGCATGGCACGGTCGCCCCCTGGCGGAAGTGTCCGGGCGTGCAAACGGGGTAGCCCCTCGAGGCGCGGGGGGTGCGGGGAGCTCCCGCGTCTCTCCAGCCCGGCGGCTCGCCCGGCGCCCTGGCGCACGCCGCGCGCCGCCTGCTTCTTCCTCTTCCCGCTCGCCGCCTCCCTCCCTCCCACTCTCCGAAACTCTAGCTCAACCTGTCGGACAGGCTGGAGCACTCGCGAGCGCTTACGGCCCCATCTGGCCCCAGCACCCCCCCTCCCCAGCCCCCACTTCTCTTGAAAGCCAAACTTCGGTTGTTTTGTTTCCCCCGAAGAGGTAGCGGGGCAGGTGACAAACTCGCCTCGGAGGACACTCCGTAAAGGTGTCGCTGGCAAGGCCCGTTTGACCCTTGGAGGAGGTTTCGTGCGCAAAACCGCGTCTAGGGGTGGTGGACGGCGCGCTCTTCCGAGAAAACCGGCTGTTTTGCTTCGCGAGAACCCGACCGGTAAGCTTTGTGAGCGGGTCTGCCATTCTCTTGCCAAGCCCTGCTCCCCAGGGCCGGGTACCGAGAAAAAGGCCCGACTAAGGGGGGTGGGGGGCGGGAAAGCGGATCGGGGGGCGCCCGAGAGCGCGGCCCCGTCCCATCGAGGGCCCGCGGCGGGCGCCTTCTCGCCGCCGCTGCGCCCTCGCCCCCATCTTGGTCCAGCGGCCCCGGTCTCCCAGGCTGGCCTCGGGCGGGGCCGGGCTGCGCCCCACTGCCCAGCTCACCTCGCAGTCCTCTTCATACTTGACATTATCGGTTATTTTCCACAACATGGCGTCCGGCGTCCCCCAAAACAGCCGCCAGTTAAATCCAGGCTCCCCCCACCCCCCGAGCGGTAAATCCAAAATTGGGGTCACGGTGGCCAGGCGTCTGCCGCCGCCCCGGCGCGCGCGGGCCTCGCTGTCCGGGTCACTGGGCGCGCATCGGCGGTTCCGCGCGCGTGGCTGCCGCGGCCGCGGGTGGAGAGGCCTCTGCGGTGGACCGGGGAGCCGCGCCCGCACTGTGTGTCCCGGCGATAGCCGGGGGACCCGGGCGCCTTAATGAGAAGGAAATTATCATAACTCCTCCCCGGGGGCCGGCGCGAAGGCCCCGGCGCCGGGCGGGGCGGCCCCCAGCCAGTCCCAGCCTAGCTCCGCCCCGCACCCCTGCCAGGCGCCGCGCCGAGACCCAGGCTTGGGGGGCCCGAGGAAGACTGGAGTGGGCGGCTCCTCGCTGGCACAGGGTGACCTGCCGGGCCAGGGGTCCCTCGTCGCCTCCGACGGTCGCTCCCACCGTAAGCACAGCCGAGGCGCGCAGAGCGGGGGGCCGGGAGAGCCCCCCTCATTTCGCCTCCAGCTTCTTCCCTTCGGCCCCCAAAGACAGGGTCACTTGGAGCGAGGGTCTCCGTATTCGGGGTCGTCGCAGCTAGCGGCCGGGGTTTCCTTATCTCCCAATACAGCCTCGCGCCCCATCACTCCACCGAGACCTCAGTTTCAGGCTGGGATCGAGCCCCAATCCCGCCGACTCGTCCCTAACCCCCCTCGGCCCCCGGAGGCTCGGCGCCATCGCGTCCCTCCGAGGGGAGGCGCGGAGGAGAGGCCTTCTGCGGGGGGCGCCCCTAAGCGCCAGGGGCCCGGCGGGCAGCTCTGCGGGCTCGGAAGTTTGGGGCGACGGCGTCTCACCGCCTTAGCCCGAAGCGGCAAGTCGGCCGCTGGCTGCGGCCAGGGGCACCGCGCGCGCTCGCCCAGCCCTGCCCTGCCCAGCCCTGCCCAGCCCTGCCCCGCGCCCGCTCGGCCGCTGACGCCGGAGGGCCTGGCACTCGGAGCCTCAGCTCCCTCGGGGCAAGAGGTGCGGGGCTCAGGGCGACCCCAGCGCCCCCGCGGACACTGGGGCGTGGGGGCAGGGGGAGACGGTAGAGGGGCCACCCTGGAGAGGGGAGCAGCGCCGTCCCGAAGTTGGAGGCAGAAAACGAAACTTCCTTCCGCGTAAAGGTGGCCGCTCCCCGCGCTCGGCACTTGCCACTCAAACGTGACACCGACGTGCAACGTTAAAAATTTTTCAAAGAAACGAAATCCAGCGGCCCAGTTATTGCAACTGACTTTTTTCACTGCAGGGGGAAGGCCGCTAGCTCTCCAGGGCGAATTTTGCTGGGATGCCCCAGCTGGCTCCCCAAGGTGAATTTTAAACATCCTGGGGGGATCGGATACGGGGACGCTCTCTATTTTATTCCAACCCGATTTTGCAATAATCAATACCTACCCCTGGTGTCCCGGGCCTGGAGTGGACCTTATTCCGCGCACATAATGACAGCAGCCACCCCTTCCTAGGCCTCCTGCGGCTTTGTTTGGGCTCAACATTTCTTTAAAACCAGATGGGCCTAAAATAAAATAAATTAAAAAGCGTTCCCTAGAGAAGCGTCCTGCCTCGCCTCGGAGAGACGAGCTCAGGGGCGACATTCCCACTAAATGTGAGATAAAAACCTGGAAGTGAAACCTCGGGGGCTTTTCAGATCTGTATGCGGGGCTTCACACCGAATACAAAGGGTGGTGCGCCCGCGACCCCAGACACCTGGCTTCCAAAACACCGGGGCCTGGGGGCGAAAGAAAAAAAAGGAGAAGCTGCGCGCCAGGTTGGGGGTGGGGGCACCTGCGCAAGGCCCGAGGCCGACCGGGCGGGCAGGCACGTGTGCACCCAGGGCGGGCAAGGTTGGGGTCCCCCGGAGAGACGCGGTGGCGCCTCCTCCGGGCGCCCAGACTCCCAGGTGGGTGCCGCGGGGCTCTCCTGCGCGCTGGGCCTTCTAGGGCCGCGTCTGGTTGCCAGACTCGGTCTGGGGCGCCTCTTGAACAAGTGGTCTCGGCGGTGCTGACCACCCTCCCCCGCCCCCGGGCAGGCTGCAGCCAGCACGCGGCAGAAGGGGGTCCCCCACCGCACCCCACCCGCAGCAGCGCTCGCCGACGCCCCCGGAGGGAAGGAGCCTGCTCCGCCGGGGGCGCCCACGGGGGAGTCCAGGGGAGCTGCTGGGCCCCGGGAGTCCTCGCGCCGGGCGAGGGCCTTTCGTTCCCAGGCGGCCCCGGGCCCCGCCGCAGCCCCTCTCCCGGGGAGCCAGCGCCCGCGATGGGGAAGGCGGTTCCAACACGCCGGCGCCTCCGGGCCGGGAGACCCTGTCCGAACACGCACAGCCTCGGCTCCAGGCACCGAACCCGGGGCCGCTGGGGATCCGCGCAGGGGCGGGCAGCTCAGGGCTCCTCGAGCTCCGCGCCCCCACCCCGCGCAGCCTCGGGACCGGCTCCCTCGGAAGCCCGCGCCCCTCCCGCGCGCGGGGCGGAGGCCGCGTGGCCGCCAACCGGGAAGGGAGCCCCTGGGGGGCCCGGAGGCCTCGCGGCCACCTAACAGAACGTGGGGTTCGCGGGGGACGGCCTCCTCCCAGGCGTCGCGTAACCAGGGACTTGGGCACGCAGGCTCGTCCGGGGCTCCCCTCTGTCGCCCCCTAGGGAGCCCGCACTCTCCAACTTGAAGCCCAGGACGCAGGACCCCGGCCTCTCCGACAGCCCCAGACACCAGGGACCCGAGGCGCGAGGCGTCTGCCGGGACAGCCACGCCCGGCCGCGCGCCCCGTCCAGGCCAGGGCGGGCGGGGGCCTCTGGAAACACGGCTCCGGGCCCCGGCGAGCTCCGCCGCCCCCACCCCCACCGCGGGCCCAGGAAAGCGGCCGGGCGGGTAGGGCTAGACCGGGGCTGGCCCGCCCTGCTCTCCCGCCCCAGGGAGGGGGCGCCCGAGCGGCAGGTGGAGGCCCCCGAGAGCCCTGGCGGCCGCGGCGCGCGCGCGCAAGGTGTCGGTCCCGCCCTCGGGAGAGCGGGCGCCCGGCGGGGACCTCGGGCGGGGACCTCGCGAGCCGCGGGCCTGGCGGCGCGGGCGGAGGACCTGGGCCCGCCGCGGGCCAGCGCCGCCCGCTCCCCTCTCGGCACTGGCCGGGACAGGCAAGAGCGCGCGAGGCCACCGCGCCGTCTGAAGTCCACGACGGTGCTGGGCCCCGGCGCCACAGCAGCCATTCACAGCCACTCCAGAATCCGGTGTTTTTAAAAAGCAGATTGTTTAAATGGCCCGCAAAGCCCAGGCGCCCCTCACGGACGCCTCTGGACTCGGCGGGGGAGCCAACCCACGACGCCCCCTTTTCGGGGCTCCGCACGGGCCCAGTGCTTGAAGGGGCTCCGCAGCCGGCCGCTCTTCCCCTCCAACCATTTTACGAGTGGGCGAAGTGAGGCGCGCCGCTGGGGACCCGCCGGGCTCCAGCTTCGGGGAGCGCGGGCTTCCTCCTGGGCCTGGGTCTCGGCCCTGCGCTTGTCGCCCAGCGCTCCCGAGCGCAGACGTGGTGGGCACAGCCTCTAGCTTGACCACCATCTCCCCACTTCTCAGCAGGCCAAGGTGAATTTTTGGTTGTCCTCAAATGACCTCAAAACACCGCTGTAGCTTCCACGCAGTGCCACCCCCACCCCGGCGGCACGCGGGGCCTGTTGGACACAGCCCGACTCGTGGCTGGGGTGCCTGTCACCTCTCCACGGCCACCCCGGGGCCGCCCGTGCGCGGCCTGTGCGCCCAGAGCGCGGGCGGCAGGACTGAGGCGCGCGCCCTGCGTCCCGGGCCTCGGCCGGGCGCCCTACGACGCCTCTCTCCAGGCAGCCGAGCCCTGCGCCCTAAGGTGTCCGTCTGGGGGCGCCGGGCGAGGAGGTCCGCTGTGGCCAGGCACCCGGCGTCGCCGACCGCGCGTCCCGCGCCAGAGCCGGGCTGCGCGCAGGGCCCGGCGGGGCACCCCCCGGCGCCCAACCCGCCCGGCGGGCAGCCGCGCCCTGGGCAGCCCGCCCCGCCGCGCGCCTCTGCTCCCTGCGGGTCCCCGGGGCCGCCCGGCCTCCGCCCGGCAGCGTCTTCTCACCCTTAGGAACTGGAAATTCATGTTGCCGGCGCGGCCACCATCTGCGGGCTGCGGATATTGAGAAGCGGAGCGGCGCAGGAAAGCGCTCCCCAAGGGCCGGGCCGCGTGCTGTAAAGTGCTCGGAGCGTTTATTTAATTTCCCGGAGGGGGAAGGGGATGGCAATTCACAGCCAAAACCGCCTATCGCGATTGGAAGACACACCTGAACTCCGCGTTACTCCTCCCCTGCCGCCGCCCCTCGCGAGCTGGAAGCTGCTGGGAAAGGGTCTCGGTGCGGGGGATCTGCAGCCTGTGCAAGGCACAGGGCCCCTCCATGGCCTGGTGTTGTGTTGTGTTTTGTGGGTTTTTTTCCCAATGTAGTCTGTGTTGCCGGCAAAGGGCATTTTTATTTATTCTCCAAAGCCAGATCTTTGCTCAGAATGAACATTTCCGTGAATTCTCAGCCGTCATGTCTAGCTTTGATCTGACTCAGGCACCGCAAAGGTTTCCAAGTCCAGCTGAAACTGACCCCGGGCCAGAGCGCTCCCTGGTAGAGAAGGGGTGGGGTTGGGGTTGCGGGGTCCTCCCGACCTGCCTGAGACATCTGTGGGAGCCCTGGTTATCCCTTGCTATTTGCCCTAAGGAAACAAAGTACCTGAGTTTTTAAAAAAAAAAAAAAAAAATCGGAAAGCCCAGTAGACTACGGTCTTTTTTAAGGAAGGTTATAAACTCAGAAATAAATGCCATTTGCTGACTGTGCCACTGGCTTGGGCATCAGGGCCCCCAGGGCCATCAGGCAGGCCCCAAGGAGGCAAAACCCGGTTTGAAAGCAGCAGTTCCTCACTATGCGGCCTGGAGGTTTTCACCCAAAACCGGCTGGGGAACCCAAGCCTGCTCTCCCAGGGAGCTGCTGTGTTGAAAGTCTCCAAGATTCCTCTGCATAAGCCTCAGAAGCAAGACTAGAGGTGGCCAGGCTTGGCCCCCACCTACTGGTACCCTCTCCTGGGGCTTCCCTGTTCCCCACGGGTCTTCAAAGGCAGTTTTTAAAATGCTCCAAGGGGCTTTTATGATAAAAGGATCCAGGCAGAGAAATGCACATTATTATCCTTCTCAAAACAAGGTGA